AACCCAGGAGGCGGAGGTTGTGGTGAGCCGAGATCGCGCCATTGCACTCCAGCCTGGGTAGCAAGAGTGAAACTCCGTCTCAAAAAAAAAAAAGAACATTCTGTGATGCATCTCGGTTAATCTAACCATTCTGTCAATGGCTCCCCAGTGCTCTTTGTTTAAAGGTCAACCTCCTTACTGTGACCCACAAGGCCCCATGGCATGGCCCTGCTGGCCACCTTCGGCCTCATCTCAGACCCCTCTCTTCCCTCTCTGCACTCAGTTTCTTTCAGTCCCAGAAAAGAGTGACCCACTCCTCCCATCTCAGGGCTTTGCACAGCTGCCCTTCATCCAGGAAGACAGTCAGCCTGGTCTCTGCTGGCTCAGCCCCTCCATCCTCTGCTCTCGGCCCCACAGCCAGGTAATTGCCCTGCCTTCCTGCTAAATCAGGTTCCTGTGCATGTACCTGACTCCATTTCAGATTACAAAGCCCCATAGAGAAGTACTTCTGAATACATATCTGTGTGGTTACCTATTTGGTCTCTGCCTCCCCAAGCAGGTCACTGGGGACAGATTGATTAGATGTTAAGTGTTTGCTGATAGAATAGGCCAGGCGTAGTGGCCCATGCCTATGATCCCAGCACTTTGGGAGGCCAAGGTGGGCAGACTGCTTGAGTTCAGGAATTTGAGACTAGCCTGGGTAACATAGTGAAATCCCATCTCTACAAAAAATAAAAAACTTAGTTGGGGATGTGGTGGTGTGCACCTGTAGTTCTAGCTACTTGGGAGGCTGAGGTGGGAGGATGGTTGAGCACAAGAGGCAAAGGTTGCAGTGAACTGAAATTGTGCCACTGCACTCCAGGCTGGGTGACAAAACCAGACCCTGTCTCAGAAAAAGTAATAATAATTTTAAAAAAAATTTTTTTAAAGAAAGCCAAGTGCAATGGCTCATGCCTGTAATCCCAGCACTTTGGGAGGCCAAGGTGGGCAGATCACTTGAGGTCAGGAGTTCCACACCAGCCTGGCCAACATGGTGAAACACTGCCTCTACCAATAAAACAAAAATTAGCTGGGCATGGTTGCACACGCCTGTAATCCCAGCTACTCGGGAGGCTGAGGCAGGAGAATTTCTTGAACCTGGCAGGTAGAGGTTGCAGTGAGACAAGATCATACCACTGCACTCCAACCTGGGCAATAGACTGAAATCGCATCTTAAAAAGAAAAAAAAAGAGAAAGAAAGAAAGAAGGAAGGAAAGAAGGAATGGA